TGCTCAGGCCCTTTAAAGAAGGAAAAGGGGAGAAATAATTGCTGTACTCAACAGCATGTGGATGGTTACAGGGAAAATGGAGCTAGAGGCTTCTTGGAAGCGCATAGCAAAGGGCTGAGGCAACTGACACAAAAGGCAGAAAGAGAAATTCAGAGAAATTTGTTTGGATGTAAGGAAGGAAAACCTTTCCAGTAAGGGAGGTCAAAGGCTGGAAAAGGAACAAAGAGAGTAGCAGGCACAATTCCTCCTTGGAGGTATCTGATACCACTGGTCACAGCCCTAAGCAACCTGATTTAACTTTGAAGTCAGCCCATGCGTGACTGAGCTGGAAAGACTTCCAGAAATCCCTTTCAACCCATTTTCTCCCTGATTCCCAGCCTTCTCTCCTCTTGAATGAAAGCAATGAAGTCTCGTTCCACAAATTACCTTGAATATACATGCATCTGCGGGCCGTTTTTCTTTCCTTTTCCTTTGTTTTTGTTTTTGTTTTTGTTATTGTTTTTCCCCATCCTGGAAGTTGTCATTACTCTGCAGCATTTATGTTGGCATGCACAACAAGTGGCATTTATGTTAGCATGCACAAGCATACATGTGATTTATATCTTAGAAGAATTGTTTTAAATGGTAAAAAACCCCCAAAACATAGTGTTTATCTGTGTAACTTAAATGTTGTAGAAAAAAAAGACTGGTTACTTTCTGTAATTTTTTTGCAGTCAGTTTTTCCATTTTATGTGGAAGCTTTGAAAGATCAATGATCATTCCAGCATGCTAGTTAAAAACCTCTTTTTCTTCAAAATGCAATACCCAGCATGATTTTAGTAAATGCCTGTGGGAGACTTATTAGGGAACCCCAGAATAACTTTGCTCCATCATCTTTTCATTTCCATCAGCTTTTCTGGAGTCAATTACTTTTATTTTTGTATGTGAACATCTGGAATGTTGCAGAGCTTGTAAAGAACTTAAATTTGGTGGATCAGATTCTCACCTGTGTTAAAAACATGATTGTGTGTTTGGGTATCTGTACACACATTGTAAAGGGGACTTGTACGCACTCTTGTACTGCCTCAGCTTACACAGTGTCAGGATAATAACCACAAATAGTTTACAGCAGCTGACATTGGAGATCCTTGCTTCCTCTTCCCCAGCTTTATGGGATGGCAATAAAGGAATGCTGTAGGATGCTGCTGTACATCAGGCTCTACATCACTATATATCTCCTTACACTGAGGTATTCCTGGTGAGCACTGTGGTCTGAGATGCTGCTTATTTTAGTGTGTGAAGCTCAATATTAATATAGTTGGAAAACCTAACCAAAATCCTAATCTTTATGTATAAAATGAGAAACCAAGAACCTAACTGCTAAAATGAAAAGCAGTGCCAAAACTGGCACTTTCATCTAGTTTAGATTAGTAGCATGGTGAATGGTGGGAGGGGAGGAGTCTCTTCAGAAAGATAAAGGAGCAAAACTATATAATTAACAGTACTGACAGTACTGACATTGGTGTAAATTCTTAGAGACTAAACTACATTTGGCTATCAAAATATAGATTTTCCATTTTTTCTATTTAGCAGCTCAGAACATGCATGCTTCTGAGTAAAATTAGTGTTTAAAAGAGATACACACCAGATCCACACAAAACTAGTCCGAAACAAGTTTTTACTTTCCTGATTTTTATGCTGTGCTATTCACCTTGAAATGGAAATGCTGAAGTTGTTCCAAATACTATACCTGTTGCAAATGCCAATGCCCATTTCCATATATTATGCTTGCCTTTTAGCATGTGGAAGACACCTAAAAATTGATGAAAAGTAAGAAACAGTGACACTAACTCAAAAATGAAGCTAGCTGAAGGAATAAAGAGAGAACATTCATGTAATAATTGTGGTTCATAACTACATTGTGCCACAGTATTCAGCTGGGGATTTTTCAATCAGAAAGATATAAATACAGGCTGTGTAAGACAAAAAGTGCCAATCTGGTGTTTCCATAATATGGTAAATTTATCATATTGTGCATGTGCAGCATGTACAAAGGCACCTTTGGAGATGAGTCAGACTTACCAAGTAAGCATCTGTAAAACCAGCTGCACTCTATAGGTGCAACAGATCGTTTCAGTTCTTCCCAGGAGAGTTGACCATACCGTGAAAGCAAGCAGAAAGCTTTCTGAAAGCATGTCTTTCAGGACATGCTTTCATCTGCACGGTGGCACACAAGCTGTGTGTGAGTACTGCAGATTTGTTCAGATGTTGTACGAAGAGATTTGGAACTGCTCATGTGCACCAGCATCATGACATAAACAAAGACTACATTTTTCAATATTTTCACTGACAAAATTCTTGGGTTTCAAACAGGTCAGCTTACTTACTGCTTTGTCTGCTACTTTTTCTTTGGTTGTTTGCATAGGACTTGTTTGTTTCAACATGGTGATAAGGGTTCTGTGTCGACAGATGTATTTACCAGTTTTCTGCAACAGCAGGACACCAACATGAAACCACCAGGTTGCTAGTCTTACAACATGCAGTCAACTTGAGTGTAATGGTGCATGCAGCTAAAATAGACATATGTGCTCCTATAGCAACAGGGTGTTTGCCATCTACACTGCACAGCTACTGTAGTTGCATTTTAGTTGCTCTAGTTGTATTTTTGGTGTGCTTTCACTGCTTTTCATGGAGTAGCAATACCTATGGTCCCACACTGAGGCAGGGAGCTGGAAAGATTACCCTTTCCACCATGTATTCAGGACCCCTGGTCATTTGGAATTAGTGGGGCATGAGCATCCAGCCCCTGTGGATCGACTTGACTTTGGATCTATCTCTTTTCCTGAAATTGTGGTGCCGATAGCTGCACAATCTTGGCTTTTTCCAGTTCCCTCTAAATTATTTTTTAGCTGCCTGCAAATCTAGAAACATGGTTACCAAATAGGGAAATTCTGAAGTTATTGTACCAGCTTCCAATGAATGAGACAAGACCATATTTGTCTTTACAACCAGCAGCCTTTTAATTCAGCTGCAGTCAGCATCCGGCATGTGTGTGCACTGCAGTGCTTTCTGCAACTGCGCTTGTGACAGTCACATACCAGGCTACTTTTAACTTGCCCTTTCAATACCAGCCTCTTTGTATTTCATCCTAAAGCTGCATCACTGCATGCAGAGTAGTCCACATTAACTCTTCATTTTGCCCCCCCTTTTTTTGTTTTTTTGACTGTATGGATCTTTAGGTCTGCTTTCGAAAAAAAATTCAAACATTCTACAGATGTTTGCTTGCATGGAAGAACTCTAGCATGGACAATAATAAGAAGAGAACCCTTCCCTCATCTGTTTCTGACAGTTGATTTTGAACATCAGGTAAGATGTGGTAACACAGCTAAAGGTTCTTTTCTGAAAACTGGCTATTACACTAGCTTGTAGAATTGAAAAAAAACCCAACAGATGATCAGATATATCAGTACTTCTCAATGCTGCATGCATCCATCCCCATTTAATCTAGAAGTAGACCAGAATTACAGGAAAAAACTGAGGACTTGACTGATGTCACTGTAACAAACAAGGTTTCTTTCTCACCTCTTTTAGCTCTCTCCCCTCCACTTCTCTGCACTACCTTTTGAACGGCAGAGAATACAGCAAAATAAATTACAATAATCTGCTTTTAATTATCCTTGCTCAGCAAATTTCCCCTTATTATTCAATAGTCGTGGCAGACAACCACGACCCGCCACCCGTCTTTAAAGCTGTCTTAAGAGAAACAAGAGGTCTTTAGCACCTGGCCCGTACTACCTTTACTCACAACCTCTCGAGCGCAGGTACACGGACCAAGCTCGCCACCCCACCGCCCAGAGAAGCGGGGCCCCGCCGAGCCCTCGGCTCTCCCGCCGCCTGAGCTGCCGTGCGTGTCTCCCTTCTCCCTCTGGAGGGAGACACAGTCCAGTTTTTGGCTGCCGCCGGCGCCGCCGCGTCCCTCCTGCCCCTGCTCCGGCAGCCGCGGCCCCCCTTCCCCAGGGCAGCTGCCCTGTCCTGCCCGGCCCGGCCGCTCCCTCACGGCTCGGTGCCGCAGCCTCGCACCGCAGGGCCAGAGGGGTCCCAGGGGAGCGCGGCGGGGCCGCCCCGGGTCCGCGGGGATCTCCCCGGCCACACGCGCCTGGGCGTCAACTTCGCACCCCCGCCCCGCCGCTCGGAGCGGAGAGAAGGGAAGGGAGAGCTGCGCTGCGGAGCGGAGCGGGCGGCGGAGGGAGGCGGCCCAAGGCCCAGCGTGCGGGGGCGGCGGGCGCTGCTCGGTCAGACAGAACAGCGGCCGCTGGGACCTGCTCCCTCATAAGGGCTGGGGAGGAGAGCCCCGAGTGGCCGGATAAATACGAGGGAGGAGAAGGGCGTCTCTCCCTCTCTCCACCTCCCTCCACCTCCTCCCTCCCCCCCGCCGCGGAGGGCGCGCTTGGAACTGCCTCTGTCTGTCCGGGCGCCCGGGGCGTCTCCGCGCCCTTCCGCGGTGCGGTGCGGTGCGGTGCGCGCAGGCTGGGCGCGGGAGGCTGCTGTTGCTGCTGCTGAAGGTGAAGCTCTCGCTCTCCAATTACTTTTCCCAAGAGAGAGAAGGAGGCAGCAGGAGGGGGAATTCGTGCTGTGTGTGGAAGGCACACCAATCAGAGATGCTCTAACGGAGGGACTGCTGCAGGACGCGCCGGCTTCTCCTCCTTCCTCTGCCGGCGGGGCTGAATCGGGACCACGCGCAGCTGGCGTAGGGGCCGGAGCCGTACTGGGCTGCAGGACTTACCCATCTCCGCTTTTCCATTAGCTCAACCATACTTCGTCCTCTCTATTTTTCTCCTTTTTTAATACTCTGAAATCGTGCACAAGAAACACTTCAAGTCTTCTCTCCATTCCTAGTTACTTCACCCTTCCTCTAGCATCTCTTAGCCAGATTCCTGGTGTATTCCCAGAGAGGCGGGGTGAGAGAGCCGGGCCCTGCGGACGGCTGCTGCCCCAGCCGGGCCGAGCCGAGGGGAGCCGAGCGGAGCGCGGCACGGCGCCGCTCCATGCCCCGAGCGCTGGCGGGGCGCGGGGCGTGTGCCGGCGATGCCCGGGCGGTAAGGCTGGAGCTCCCCCCGGACGGGAGGCGGCCGATCGCTAGGCATTTCTAGCAAGAATCGGGACTGCAGGTAGGTGAGCGGAGCGCTCCAGGGTCGTGTGTCTGTCTGTGTGTCTGTCTGGGAGCTGGTGGGGTGATACCTTCGCGGCTGGCCGAGACCCCGCGGGCTGGCGGCGGGCGCAAGCGGCCGCGGCGGGGCCAGGTGTGAGGTGTGCGGGGCGGCTGCGCCCTCCCGCTGCCCTAAAGTCGGACGAAGCCGCATGTGAAGAAGAGCTGCTTTGCCGTCCTTCTGCTGGGCAACTGGAGCAGCCGGCTACAGCCTTTCGCCGGGCGATTCTCAAGGATTTTGTTTTCCCTTTTATTTTTCTTTGATTTTACTTAAAATATTAGTTCAACAGAGCCGAGAGGGAGGCGGGGGGGAGAAAGGGAATCCACCTGGTTTTCAACTTTTATGGAACGGGTGGTCGCTAACTCGCAGGACCTTCGGGCACTTGGGGGTTACTGTGCCCGGACGCTTTATCAGCCGCCTGCAAGAGAACGGCTGGAAGAGCGGGTAGTGGCTTTATGCGTCCTCTAAAAACAAAACAAACAAGCAAAAAACGTGTTAAAGGGAAGATTCGTGGCTCCGTTTCTTTCTATGTGTAGTGCTCTTCAAGTTGTGCATATATAGTATGAAACGTACCTTGTCTATCCACGTTGCTTTTGCAGAGAAAGTTTTAAAATAACCTGCTTTATTCCTGTGGAGCTGTAGGATCGGACACCAGGTTATCAATGCAAAGAATAAAGAGCAAGAGCTTGCACTGCCCTGTTAGGGATTGCCACGCGTGGCTCTTCTGTATGTTTCATTCCTACAGGAGTTAAAATGATTGCTTAAAGCATTTTAAATTATATGTGTAGCTACAGTTCTCTCTTTCCAGCTTCTGCTTGGAGCTTATCAGTTGGGTTTTTTTTTAAGTACCTCAGTTCTACCACCCTCCCCCCAGTAGACACTGGCTCAGTATTTAAAGAACCGTGCTTTGCCTCCTGCAGAACTGTCAATTTAAATAATAAACATACTCAACTCCTTTCTCTAAAACCCCATAAAGCACTCCAGGTCATAGGGTCTTTGCACCACAGTGGATACATTTAAATTACTATTGACTAAATGATAATTGTTATCTGGTTTCTCTGTCTTACCAACTAGTTTCAGACTTTAGCGTTCAGCCTACTATATGTTTAACACTTTAAAGCTACTTTATGGGCTAATTTAAGTCAAATTGAGAAATTAAGATTCTTTCCTGTAGTGCTGGGTACACACTTGAAACATAGTTCAGTGATGCTAAGAGGATAGCTTAGCTGAAGTTGGAAAAGAGCATACTCAGATATTTTTAACAGAGGTGGTAAAGGTGCAAGTTTCATTATACTTTTTCATGTTAATTGGGCTGTCATCTCACACTGATGCCTAAATTGTTTTGTGAGTGTATAATTAACAGTAGTAAAGTAATTCTTATAAATTTCACTGTTAATATTTTATTTCAGAGAGCTGATGCTGATGAGGCAGTATTGAAAACCATGTGGGTTTTGTTTCACATAGTCCCAATTTCCAGTAGTTATTCTTATAAATGTAAACTACCTCAGTACTGTAATTTCAGTGGAAAGCTTTGCTCAGTTGATACAGCAAATCAGATTTACTACTCACTGGTTCTGTATATTTTTTGGTATATAGAAGATCCCTCAAAAATGTGGTATTAGTTTTAGATACACTGCTGGTAGTGGGTGACTGAGATAAAATCTGGATTCTGTCTTGCTGTTTTAATCAGAGAATGATGACTAAGCTGCCAATATCTTCAATCATACTGGACATGGGGTAACTTTTTTACCTGTCTCATGATCTAAGGGATCTCAGATTTATGTGTAGATGCCTATAGTGCACTTGATTATTCTGGTGGGGAATACATGAAAAACTTGTTCTGAATGAAAGTAAATAGATGTGTGTACAGATGGATATTGGAGATTGTTTTACTGGCAGGTTGCAAAGTGATGATTCATTGAGCCCTATCAGATTTACATAAAGCAAATAATACTTTATACTGAATTGTTATGGCAGAGAAAAATGTAGCAGCCAAGAAGTTTCATGATTTCATGAGAAGTGATGACAGACTTGATAAAGGACATCTTTACAAATACAGGCAGTATGTTTTTGGTAAGCAAAATATAACCATGAAGTTTTTCAGATCTGAGCATCTTCACACCAAAATCTATTGCTGTCTGTGTTGCTACTTACCAACCAGTGTAAAGCCTAAATAATGTACTAGAAAGATGTTACATTTATTATGTTGTATGTTTTGCTTACTATAAATAAGTAATGCTACAATGCTAACTAGTTATCTCACCAAAGGAAATCACTGACTTGGAAGACTGAAAATTACAATACCTAATACTCATCTACACAGAAATGTGATCACCATCTTGAAAAATTATTCTGAATGATACAACTATCAGTGAGCAAGTGATTCTATGCCTCTGTTTTATCTTCTGTAGGATTTTATTAGAAATGCTTCATTAAGTCACATTATTCTGCAGCTGTTTGCTCACTGAAAATTAAAATAAAAATCAGGAAATTTATCCAGCAGAGCAGTAATATTTCCTTTGTTAAGTACTGAAACTTCAAATAAAACAAAATCTTTTAGCTTCAGTGTGCCAGAAGCACTGAGTACATCCTATTTTTGTGATGTATGGATGGCATTTACAGATGCAATTCATCAATGTATTTATTAGTCAAATGTCATCAAACAAAGAAGATAAATGGCAGTAAACAAAGACTGCATGGTAATACAGAGGCTAAAGCAATAGAAGACCCTACAATCTAATTAATTAATGTTCAGTTTCATATTTCCAGTCTGTATTTAAACATCTCATTTAAATGTCTTTCATAATTTTTCTATTGCATGTCCAAGTAATTCAAGTAGCAATAGCTTTTTATTAGAAAATATATTTTTCATTTACCTTTTGAAATGCTGAATTTTGAAGACATTGAGCCAAAATTTGTGTAAGGATGAGTGTAACAGAAGGGTCCTATGCCAGCAGAACTGAATACTGACCTGTCCCTGTTCATGACCATTTTTGTGTTGAGGGTTATCCCCAACTGATGTAGACTTTCACTGCTCCCTTGGCGCAGTTGCAGCTCTGACATTTTAAACCAGCTGGAGTATTTGCTCCATTATCCTTAGATCACTGAATTTAAGAGTGTATTACTTAGAAGGATTTTGCTTGTGCTTTGTTTTACTATTATTGTTTTTTTAGCATGGTCAAACAATTACATAGTATACTCAGCTTCACAGAGTCCATTGTAAGCACACACTTTGACATTTGAAATATTTTTTAAAAACAGAAGTTCACTCTTAGGGCTATTTCAACAGGAAATTTGGCTCATTGATTTGGTTTTATAAACTGTTAATATTTACTTTGAAACACTTCTCCTCATGACTAAGTTCAGATATATAACATTCACCAGACATAGGAATGAATGTGGAACCATCAACAGAAATGTTGTTCATTTTTCCTGGTGACAGCTACAGAGCTATCTCCTTTTGCTCTTGTGGAACTTGGGAAGATAGTGGGGTTTATGCTTTGTTTCTTTATATACCCGAGCCAGCCACTCTTGTTTACCATATGTAGTGAGCTATTTATCAAAAGAGATAACAAAACAATAATGGCCAACTAGTGTACCTTTTCATATTACTGCTGCAGAACAGTCACATTTTTAAGATAAACAATTCAAGGCATCTTCATATAGCTTCTTTCATGTCATGTGTTTTGAAAAACAGTGGAGATAGAAAAGAGAAAGCAAAGACCTTGTGCTTTACTAGTTAAAGTAGTTAACAAAACTTCCAGGTATGGCATGACACTACGTAGTTAGATAAAATGGGATGAAGTCCCTGAAAAAAGCTTCTTTAGCTTTTTCTTCTGTCTGAATACATTGGTACAGTGATCTGTAGAATGCACTTCAAGCTGTTGCTTGAAGTAGCACTGGAAAATGCTTTGTATGGATTTGATCCTTAGTCCTTAACTAAACACTTATAGGAGAAGCTCCTATATGTTTTGTGGGCTGGAAGAATCATTTATATAATTGCATGTGTAAAAGGTTACAAAATGCTTTTCCCCCTCATCTTTGAAGTTTATCAAACCTCCTAATCTGTGCTATGTTCATAGCTTGCATTTTCTAGTTGCCTCACTTCACATCTTGCTGATCTTGTAATAGGAAACTTGAACACAGGTCTCTTGGCACCAGGACAGTGTTCTATACAGCCGCCTCAGCTGTGAGCATCCCTTTAACAATGCCAAGGGGACAGCCACGGTACAGGCTAGCACTCAGCTGAAAGCACACCTAGCTTTTTTTGACTCCTGGGTGTTTGGTAATCTTCTATGCCTATACCACAAATCAAAGCTAATGTGGCAGAAGGTGCTTTACACTGGCAAACGTCATGGGTAAATAATAAACAATCACAGTTCAACAAACCTAGCTGGTTGTATAAATAGCAAAATATTAATAAATGTGTCAGTAAATATCAAATGCTTTTAAAATAGATAAATTTTTAGTCTTGGTTGTATGCTGGCCTCTCTCTCTGTGGAATATTTCTTGCCTCCTCTGTTGCTATATTAAGGTCCAGTATTTGAAGATGAGGTACTGGACAAGACAGACCACCGTCCTGATTCAATAAAGCAATTTCTTTCTTGAAATGCAAGGAGGCAGTATTGCAGTACTGCATATTTATTTTACTTGCAAGAACCAAAGTGCAAGAACCAAACTGCAATTGCTTAGTGTACTGCTTTTGCTTTTTTTTCACTTTTAAAAGCAGGATATAAAACATTTCTAAAATAAATCTGTCAGCGACATGCAGTCTCACACTAGCTCTTTTAGAGACAGGAGCACAGACCTGACTAGTCTCTCACATTTGCAGTGATACTCTCATATTGGATTTCTTCTACTCCCTCACTGCATTTTCTGCATCACATATTGATAAGGCCGAGCTGTGGCCTCTGATCCATCCTGCCGCAAAGCCGTCAGTTATGTAGTGGGTGTTCTCCCTC